GATTATAGTCAGACAATCAATCGATTCACTTTTCTGGATGCTTACCCATTACCTAGGATTGACGAAATGATACAAAAAATCGCACAATATGACATATTCAGCACTCTTGATCTGAAGAATGCTTATCATCAAATTGCCCTAAAGAACGAAGATAAACCACATACTGCTTTCGAGGCTTGTGGGAAACTTTACCAATTTTGTCGAATTCCTTTTGGTGTTACCAATGGAGTAGCTTGTTTTCAACGCAATATCGATGAATTGATCAGTATATATATATATATGCAAACCACTTCAATTTGAGTACCACACACTCAGCAGACAACTTAAGTATTTATTATTCTCACAATTAAAACAATAACGAAAGCTTACACCCTATCGGAACTAAATAAATGATATCTGATGACGTATAAAATTGACCTTAGTTGCCAGGTGGCAGGAAAATGATTGATCCTCCCGCCTTCTTCGTCTTTTCTATTGTTTTCCTTTCGAAAACGTCTATTATAACCTTATTTGACCTTTCAAAAAATACACACACTTTTATGTCTAGTTAGCTAGAATGAACGCTATTCGATGATTAGATGGCCAACTTATAAGATCATCATCCATCTATTGTTTTTGACCTTGTTGTCACGTACATATCGATTAAGCGTTGACATTAATACTATATCATCGCAGGCATACAATTGTAGTACAGTTTACGAATGAATTCCTTCATAGAGAAAGTTTCTCGTAAAGAACTATTTCTAATTTCCATATATACAAAGAAACATGACTAACATCTCTGTTTAGATGCAAATGATGGTGAAATTAGGGAAATTAACTCCAATGGATACACCAGTCATTTGATCATATTAGAACCCACAGTTCAGAGATTTCAATGATATCTAATTTTCATTAGTGTCAGTCTCCTGAAACGGACTTCAGGTATACTCTGAAGAGGTTACCAAATAGTCGGATGATCCCATCGTTCATTGGTCAGTGTTCGAAGTGACGAATTCTTAGTATCATGCATGAGTGCCTCCGACCTAGTACGGTCGATGTTCCTCTGAAAATGTACTCATGTAGCTACGCATTCATAGCCACTGCCAGCCAGGTAAGTCCTATTGACTGGCCACACACGACTGCGGAGTTCCTCAGAAAAGTGAAGCCACGATTACGAACGTTTGATGCCTAAAACCAAACTGGTGAACATGGGGATCTGAGAAACCATAATTCCAAAGCTATGATGTACATGGGCTCCAGAATTCCAACAAGTTGCATGGCGTATGTTTCCGTCACCAGCACCAATGAGAAGGTAGCTCGTGACACTGCTGCATTACTAGATGATTGGCAATCGGCCACAGGAAACCTTGGACCTAGATTTCGTGCTAGTTGGTACTCACCAGTCAGCAAGGCGTATCCTTTCTGAGATTCGAACCCGCGTCACCCAGTACTGAAGTCAGAGCTAGTCGGGCTCGCGATTGACCCCCTCTAGGACTGTAGTGGATACTTTGATTGGACACTAGTAACTACTATGGTGTGTCTAGTCCTTTCTTTGGTGCAGACTGAACTGCTGCACTACCTTGTAGACTAGGCTTAACGGCGAAGGCTCGGGGGTAACCCCTTAAAACAGCCACCTTCAGTCTGTGAGTCCAGGCAGCACCCCAACCTGCGCACAAGCTATGAGATTTAAGGTGACGCATCTCTTAATACCTATAATATACCGTGTTATTAATTTAATAACAATAATAATACTTGTGCATGACTAAAACAGATGATGTCAGGAAACTGGAATACAATAAATGCTGAAGAAAACTAGTGTGATTGTGATTTTCTCAGTTCTTATCGATTATCCTTAATCATAATCACACGTATGAATGTAAACTTAAGTCACTAAATCCACATTTAGTAAATAGACAGAGTTAATTTTTAAGAGTTAGTTTGTAAGGATCGATATCAATAAGAGAACCAGTGAAAACCAGCAGGGAGCACTGAACACCTCTTTTGTCCGTGATTAGGATTCTTCGGTAGTACACACCCATGACCATAAGACCATTGCTTGAAACCAGAAGGAGCTCCAACTACTACTCAGCAATTGGAACAGAGCCTAGTGGTGTCTATAAATTCTAACCTCTGTTCATTTGCGATTTTGGCATGACCGCCAACCAATGTCATCAGCGAATATTTGTCCTCCCACTCGACCTGGTGTGAAGACCCTCTATTGATCACTCACGACTTTGTACCAAAACTTCAAGTAACTTTCTCCTGTAGTCAGTCAGATGTGACCAATATAACATTTGATTTTATCCCACTGACCGATTGATCAACGAGCTCACCTGTCTGTCTGTTTTCGACATAGAACTTCGCACATATGTGCGGCACTTCAAGTTGCCACACTCCATGTAGCACACAAAGCAAGAGAAGGTAGAAGAAATGCATAATAGAGACAGTAAGCAGAGGTGTGAAACAAAGGAATAGTAATAACGAAGAACAAGATAGTTTCATTGGAAATCATAAGTCACAGGGAGTGGATGCATCCGTGCCAGCCATTCAGCCATATCACCGATTGTCTCCAGCCATTGTCTGTCTCTGTCTGGATTCAACATAGAACTTGGCACCGAAGTGCAGCAGTTCGAGTTGCCACGTTCCAAATAGCACACAGAGGTAGACAAGAAGATGAGTGGAGAGAATTAATAGAGTTTGACAAATATAGGAGTGAAACAGAATGGGTAATGGTAGAAAGGAATATGAAAGATTACAGAGATTGAATACATCTGCGCCATTGACAACGATTTTGAGCCATGTCACCTATAGTCTCCAGCCATTGATTCCTAGAGTCCCGAGGGCCCCAACCCGGGAGTCTGCATCTCCCTACCTGACTCAGTTTAACTGTCAAGGATTTCATGGATTGATGCCATGTTTTTGCTTGGCCACCACTGGCTCTTTTCCAACCTGAACCTATATCAGCTAACAATGCCCGTCGGGGGAGGCGGTGGTTAGGCATGCGCAGCACGTGACCTAGCCATCTTAGTCTATGTAACTTTATAACCTCGTCGATTGATTTTCCCTCTTTGCCCAACACTCTACGCCTAACGTCAACATTACTTATCTTGTGAAACCACCTAACGTGAGACAGAGATCGTAGACATCTATGATCGAAAGCAGTCAACCTTTTCATGTCTTCAACGCGTATTGGCCATGTTTCAGAGCCATAGACAAGGACGGAGCGAACTGATGAGCAGTACACACGTCCCTTGGTTGATAACCGGATGTCACGCCTACGCCAGAGATGGTGTAAGTCAGCGAAAGCAGCTCGAGCTTTTCGGATCCGTGCTGAGATTTCATCGCCAATCAGTCCGTTGGTGCTAATACAACTTCCCAAGTAGGTGAAGTGGTCAACATGTTCTATCACTTCACTCCCTATCACTAAGTTAGGGGTTGACGTCGTCCAGTCCTGTAGCAGCATCTTACATTTTGCAGGGGCGAATCGCATGCCAAACATACGAAGATTGCTGCTCAAGGTGTTCAGAAGACTCTGCATTTTTTCAGAATCCTCCCCTAACAGGACTATGTCATCTGCATATTCTAAGTCCATTAGATTATTCCCTGGTAACAAGTCGATTCCTAAGTCACTACGTTCAGTTAAGGATACTTCCATCAGCATATCTATGATGAAGTTAAACAGAAATGGGGAAAGTGGACATCCCTGTCGGACACCACTGGTTGTTACCAATTCAGATGACAATTCCCCATAAGCCCTTACACGACTACGTGAGTTTGAATAGAGTGCCTTGATTAGTGCAATGTACTTTCTTGGCACTCCCTTCACAGTCAGACATTGCCATAGTACTTTTCGGTCCACGGAGTCGAAGGCGTCTCCAGCCATTGGTGTTTACCGTCCCGAGGACCCAAACGAGGAAGTCTACACCTACCTACATGACTTAGGCTAACTGTTGTAGATTTCACTGACTGGTGCCATGTTTTGGTTTGACTGCCGCTAGCTCTTTTCTAGTCTGACTCTATGTCAGTTACCATTGCCCGTCAAGGAAGGCGATGACTAGGCATGCATACGTAACACATGCCCTAACCATCTCTCTCAATCGATGTAATTTCACGGCCTCGTCGATTGATTTCCTCTCCCACCTACCTAGCACTCGATCCGGGCCTAACCTCAATATTGCTCACCTTATTATACCACTTCACACGGGAAATAGAAAGCAGGCACCTATTATCAAAGACAGCTAGCCAGGCTTTTCATGTCTTCCACTCTCAATGGCCACCATGTCTCACAGCCAGCCATAAAGGAGGACGGAGAGGACTGATGAGCAGTACACCCGCCCTTTGATCGACGGCCAGCCGGATATCACGTCTACTATACCGGAGACAGCGTAAACTGGCATATGCGAAACTAGCCATCTGTATCAGTGATGAGATTTAGTCGGAAATCAACCCGCTGGCGTAGGTTGATGGCACTGATTATCTGAAGGTCCTAGACTCCATATCATAGAATCATGGGTATGAACTTCTGAAGAGTCCCAGACAAGGGCTAAACAGTTTTTCAGTACACTCTAGTTCCCAATGGTTATCTAGGTGGAAACGAAGAGTTACGTCGATGTAAAGATCACCATCATCATTATTTGTTAGACCAACAATTTACTTACTTACTTTACTTTTGTAAGTTAAATAAAACTGAATTCTTGAACTTATTTGCTAACACACACACAAACACATACACAAACCTAAATTTTGTTCTTGTGAGTTAGTTTTTCAAAGTCAAACAAAACGTCTCATCAAAAAAGCGGCTTTGTCTATATATATATATATATATATATATATATATATATATATATATATATATATATATATATATATATATATATATATATATATATATATATATATATATATATAGACACGTCGATAAATTCACCAATAAATCAATCAGCAAGTCAATCATGGTAATTTCGTCATTAACTAAGAGATACTCATTTTTTTTATGATTTCTCCCCTATAAAACTTACTCTTCAGTGTGGCATTATTTGCAATCGGATAAACATTATTCGGTTGTACTGACAATAAACTGGACTCAGGAATAGGAAGACCTGATATCTGAAGTGGAATACGAAGTTTTGCACAATTTGAAGCTGATAATGAATCTGTCGTATGAACTGATAATGATGATGAGGCGGAGGAGGAGGATGATGATGAAGATGGATTATTGTATGAACAAGATAATGGAGAAGCGACTGTAGACAAAGGTAAACCACCTAATTGGATCTGTTGTTGTTGTTGTTGCTGCTGGTGCATAGGTTGATTTCGAGCTTCTAAACCCGCTAGAAAAGTCGATAATGCAGTAGACGTCGAAGAATTCATTGGATTAAGCATTGTAGTCGCTAAATGTGATACTGAAGTTAATACTGGTTGTGTAGTATTCATTGATGTTGATGATTCCGAGGGCATTTGAACACAATTATCATCAGGTTCAACACCTGGAGAAATAGCCTCTAATATTGGAGCATTTGTAGGAATAGATTCAATCAATGGTGAAGTAGACGGTAGAATAGGCGCCATAGTTTGTTGATTGTTTGAAACTCTTGGCATAATCACAGGACAATCACTTGGTACAAGAAGATAAAGTTGTCGTGTGGAACCATCAGAGGATTGACCGAGTAGAGTTTGCTAAATTCAAGGAATAAAATCAAATCATCAATCACATGATATTAAAGTAGGTGTACCATAGTCATCTTGCTTGTAAGTACATACACTATAGTGCAACTAAGTATGACCAACCGGTCCAGCCAAAATACAACATTAACATCAACTATTGCACAACTGCATGGAGGATTCCATGATGAGCCGACATCAGTTAGAGAATCAATGGAAAACAGGGGAGTACTGGACGACTGTTTCGTCTTAGTTTGGGACTCCTCAGTAGTACGCACCACCAGGGTTCGAACCTAGGACTTTCTGGCTACAAGGCGAGCCCATAGACCATTAAGCCACTGGGACCCGTTCCAATGGTCCTTGAATTCGAACTCCTGCCAATTCACGACATAGCGCGACCATTTCGCAATGTCTTTTTCGATGAGTTACTGCCTTATCTTCAACCTGCTGTAGCCTATTGGTCACGAATTCCCACTAGAACCCCAGGCTAACTGCCTGAATAGGGCCCAGTGGGTGCGTACTGATGAAGAGTCTCAAACTAGGCTGACGAAACAGCTGTCCAGTAGTCTCTGCAGGTTTTCCAGTGGTTCTCTAACTGATGTCAGTTCATGATGAAATCTTCCATGCAATCAAACAAAATCCCTACAAAACAAATACTTGGAAATATTTCAAAATTCATTGCCAATTCCTCTGCTTAATAATTAAAATAACATGCTTTACCAGGTTTTACTTACATTTAATTAAAACGAACTTGGTACACAGTATGGGCATCAAGAGATGCGCCACACAACAATGTACGAAAATAGGGAGAGGATGAGTGAAGGATGTCGTCCAGAAAGCAAGTAAGCAGACCTACTTGTAAAAAGATCATTCAACAATCATTACTTCATACTACTTTCAAGAAGAGAAGAAAGAAGGAAGTCACACAACATGTTCACCGTTGATTCCAATTCTTGGTCATATCTGATAAAGTCTCCGGTCGCCGCCAATTCAAACCAGGAAGTGGTGATGTACCAACCGATGCGCTAACTTAACACAAATATCCCTTATCTCACAGCACCACATTACAGACTGACCACCTCTGTCTCAGCTCTTACCATCCAGTCCCAGGGATGACAAACAGCGAGTGATACGGAAGCCTCTGTGATGAAATTCGTAGCATTTGTCCAAACCACTGGAACCAGTGTTTCCAGATGACGACAGTCAATGAATGATGATCTCCACTGCATCCAAACACGGGCTGCAGGGTCTAGGAATTACCCACACGACAATGCTATCAGACGCAAGCAATTCTACGGAGAGAGAGATGTTCGAGTACTTAGAGTTGCTGCGTGTCATCCATCAGATAGGAAAGTCCAGGTTTCAAAGGAGCAGAGCACGACTGCACCTACACCGAAACCCAACCAACCTTGAGAGCTAAGATGAGGTCGCGACGGCGTCATGTTTAAGATATAAATTTTTTGGAAAAAAGATAAAGACAAACGCTGTTATGATGCTTTAAATCAAAATTAAAATGTAGGTCAGTAGGGCTTCAGACAACTGAACTTGAATTCACGTGTCGCCCTCAGTGATTTAAATAACATCACATGGAGAGTCAAATTCTTAAACTTCATTCAAGATCATCAATGCAAAACGTGTCAAAACTTCTCCAAGACACTGGTTAAAGAACCATCACATATGAAGGCTTTCCTAAAAACCCTGAAAAATATGTTCTTTATCTGTCTAGTGTGAAGCTCAATAGCACTGAGATTGAAGCACTACTCTCATCACTTGGATTCAAGTTCCACGTCCGGCGAAAACTTGTGAGTAAAATAGCGACAGAGATTCAATTCGACAATCTATTCACAATCAGCTAACCTACTTACATTCCTCCCATCAAAATGAGGATACAAAGAGTTGGTTTTAAATCGAAATTAACTGGTATTTCCAATCAGCACACACTACACGCATCATCATATCATTGGAATTTCAGCTGTCTAGACTCCGGACGTTTGTTAATTTAAAGTAATACATATTCAAAGGCATACATGCATTACGACAAAGTTGTAGTAAAAAATCGGTAGACATACCCGAGCTGCTGAAGACATAAATTCCCCACTAGCTACAAGTTGTTGTAAATCAGATGGACTGATTAAAGAGCCTGGTGCAGGCTGTAAAGATATGAAGGCTGTTGACTGAAGTGGTGATGAATCTGTACTGGAATTGACCACTGCTGCTGATGGTAGTGGTTGTGGTACTGTCTCTGAATGCAAAGATTGTTCAATACTACCAGCATCACCACAACCCCCAGCCCCACCGGTACCAGTTGGAAGATTTTGAGGAGCTGAAGGTGGAACTAGAAAAGATGAAGTTGGAGCTGGTAACAGATATGAAGAAGGCGATGCAGTTTGTCGCATATTACACGATGAAGTTAACTTTGTTTCTGTGGGCAAGGGGAATACAGATGTTAAAGGCAATTCAAGAGAAGTAGTAGTTGGACTCGGTAGAGAACACTGTTTTTGTGTTTCACGAATGAAAGCTGCCAAACCTGCAGAAAAAAATATGTGTGTGCAAGACAATTGTTATTTATTTTTTGTTGGCATTTTAATAAAAGAATTGTCAAAAATTTCTTTAACAATCTATTAAAAAATACGTCGTTTTTTTGTTTGAATTGCACCTAAAACACACTGAACTTAGACAAACAAAAAGATAAAAGCATAAACTGCTTTGTATTACAACTCTGAGTGTAAGATGGCCCTCCCGGCAAAAAATCAATAGAAACTGAGTTTACAGGATTTCATCATGAGCTGACATTGGTTAGAGAACCATTGGAAAACCTAGGAGTACTGAACAGCTGTCTCGTCCTAGTTTGGGACTCTTCATCAGTACGAACCTACCGGGACTCGAACCCAGGCCTTCTGGTCACAAGGCGAGCTCGTATACCATTGAGCCACTGGGACCCGATCCAATGGCCCATGAATTCTAACCTCTGCCGATTCACGACATAGTGCGACCCCTAGCCAATGTCTTCGGCGAGTATTTGTTCTCACACCCGACCTGCTGCATCCTACTGGTCACGACTTCTCACTAGAACCCCAGGTAACTACCTACATGAATAGGGCCAGTCGCTAGCGAGCATCTCATTGATATTCAAGTGTTGGGTTGTAGGGATTTGATTGATTTACAGGATTTTAACAGCAGCAACAACAATAAACGGATTTAGTCTACCGGTTGATGATCGCTTCTCAGATAATGATAATAAAATCACTATTCATTCAATAAACATTTTGTATTCAGATTCATCTACAGACAACCCAAATGGAACAGACTAACTTTGTCTAACTTTCATATTTGGATGACTCTATACACAAAACGAAAATATCGGCGGCTCTGACACTATGGAAGAGGTGCTGAACACTCTGAAAAGAATCCTCCTCCAAAAATGGCTACACTGAATGTTGAAACTATGGCCACTGGGTTCGAGCCTCAATGGTGGGAACATCATCACTCACTGAGAAATGCAGGTACATCCACTAGCTGACGAAATGCGCATCCTGCTAGTCAAAATCCACCAATTAAACACTAAATGTTTCATCACAAAATCCACAAAGCCTAAACCACTGAAATCGCCTACACTTTCTGTTCTCGAAAAAACTTCTCTATTTGAATCTACAATTTAGCGGAGAGTCATCAGCAAAAATACTGAGAAAGCGCCTGTTCTGCTCACTGAAGAAAACCTTCTTCGCTGCTTAGCTTCGAAAAACTTTCTCTACATAGCCAATAATTCGCATGAATGTGAAGGATAAGCTACAGTTGTTGGCCTCATCAATGTGTATCTACCAATTCACCTCCTCGTGTGGAGTTAGTTAAGTATGCCGACCGTACCCAGTGTTTGCTATCCAGGCATATCATAGAACAATTTAACCCCGGTCATGGTTTAATAAAGGAAGAAAAAGATTCTTCTACTCCGCCACATCTCTATCCTGGAACACCTGATCACATCTGGACACCAAGCTAACACACAAACCAACTTCATAGTTATCTACAGAATATGTGGGAATCTCATTGAGAGAGTACGAATCAAACTTCTTCAAACCCTGCAGAAGCAATGGCAACTCACATGTCAAATCTTGAACTCTGTAACCTTTTGATTTGACCACTCCTAACTATTTTCCAACCTAATCTTATGTCAGGGTAACATTGTCTGCCGAGGAACCCGATGTCTTGGGATGTACAACAATCTGAAGATGAGAGGACCACAAATTGATCAAGATCTGCCTTAAAAATTGTCGCCAAAACGAACTAATCACAAGGAAACTGATTATGACGGCTGATTGTAAAAAGTAGATTAGCCATTCAGCAAATCAACCAACTGAATTAAGACAATGTGAAAGTTACAGAAAGCATAAGTCTGTAAAACACATTCAGGAGACGGTTCATTTCTTCAGTAATTATCCTATTCACACTAAGGATAACAGTTAAAATGACACACAAGTCTCTGTCTTATAAGAAACTAGTCCGAAAAGAACACACAGAGAGACGACAATTCCCACAGAAAAGATGTTTCAATAATCGGCGGATACATTTGCTTTACTGTAAACAACTTTGGGAATTTTCATGTTACAATGATTTTGATTATGCCGTATACTGCAATCAACAGACAGACTATACTCTTTTAAATAGCTTATATTTACAGCTGTGGCTTGGCAAGCGTAGCACATTTCAACTCATTCAGTAAAAACTAACAACCTCTTCGACTAGCCAGTATTTTTACACTCAATCTCGTCACTGCTCATCCTGTTTTTACGTCACACGTAATGTTGTGAGCTCACTCATGATGGGAAACCATGACCTAACACCTTTCATCGTCTAAAAATATGTGACCAACATGAGGTCGGTGGAGGGAGAGGTGGTGTAGTACACGTGTTCTTTGAAGGACAGACGGATATTCCATCGGCAGGTGGTGCGCGAGTGTACATACCGCATCTTTGGTGCTTATGAGATTTTGGTACCGGTAATTTCTACCTCTGAAGCGTACTCATAGAATTATAATAAATAAATATCACTTAAAACTATGTACTACTGATTGATTGAGATGAGTAGTACTCATGTTAACCAGTAGTGCTTGCTAGCCACATCGAAGTGATCTAGACACCAGACGGTCATTTTGCTCGTTAAAGCGGGGTCAAGCTTATCAGATGTATACCGAGTTTGACTCAGTTCCGAGTGCCGAATCACTTCAAACCCTGGATAGTTGTGACTCCATTATGGATAAGACTTTATTTTGATAAATCACACAGTGTTGTACAGTAATATTATCAGTTAATATTACTGTACAACACTGTGATTTATCAAAATAAAATCTTATGCATAATGGAGTTATGCCCTACCACAGTGCCCAAGTTTCATACTTATATCAACCCTCGATAGTTGGCTAGCTACTTCTGCGAACTGGTACATTCGTACATCAATTCCTCAATTTGCAATTTACACAGTTTGAAGAGATGAAATTTCACCAGTTTCCTTTGGTAACAAGCAGAGCACATTTTGTGATTTGAAAATTTCGAAATTGCAAATTAGAAATTTGATTTGACAAATATTACGTAGTTATTTAATTGAATTTTAGATTTTCCCGTTGACTGATTCTCCCGAAGTACTCGGTCTCAGAGGGTCTCAAGGGGGAATGCGGGTACATCTAGTTGACGAGTCCCAAATAGGATGAAATGAACATCCTGGCTTGATTCCACTGTTAGTTACCAGCCACCAACTGACTTCAAGTTACATGACCAGACATCTTCGAAGCATCCTCACAAAACGCTGACATATCAACCTGAGAACCAGCACTTCGGTCTAATCAATCGACGGGAAAATCTAAAATTGACTTTAATAATTAATAAGACCCGTTGGACAAGAGGTGGCGCTCTTTGTCCAAGTGGTGCAGGGGATAACACTTTGGGACTTGAAACTATGAGCACCGGGTTCGAGTCTCACTGGGAACATCATCCACTACTCACTCGGCAATGTAGGTGCATACACTGGCTGAAGAGTCTCAAATAGGACGAAATGTGCATCCTGGTGGATTTCACTGTTAGTCGCCATCCACCAATCGAAATATTACATAGATTTTAGTACTCCAAGAGTTTCAGGCAGTGCATTTCTCTAGGAGGTACGTACGTCTATTAATTCCCTCCTTCAAACTGATTGAGGCTTACAATGTAGAAGCATTTCAGTTTTTGACAAATACTAATTTTAGCATAAGGATACGAGAGACGTCAAAGCTTAAATTAAGCAAATATTAATAGTGAATTCCCTCATCACCAGGAAAAAAATATGTACACCAAAACACGATATTATTGAGACTTACAAAACAAATATTGAGATAAGAAAAATGGCATTTTCAAGGTTGAAAATAATATATCAATAGATTTATACACTTTGTCGAATCATCTAGCATTATAATAACTAATCTGGACGTTATGTGTCGGTGGCACAGCGGTAGAATGCTCACCAACTCACTCCTTTACCTAACTAAGACAGTAATAACTGTTAAAGAGGGAAGGTTGTACATAAGGCTGGCTAGCAACGCCATCCATCCCGTAAATATAAATACCACCGTTACCCAAACTTCAAAGCTCTAGCTTGAAGCCCCCTATCTTCCACTGGGAACGTAAATAAATAAATAAATAAAATAAAATATGGACGTCATATTTCAGCTTCAGGTTAGTTAAAACGTATATATATATATATATATATATATATATTGAATAATCCATGAGATATACAAAGCGACAGCCTTATAAGTAAATAGATAACACTCTGCTTACTTTGAACATTGAGTACAGCTCTAGTCACTGGGGTAGAATCATTCAATAAAGACTGTGATGTTGACGTATTCAGGGCACTAATTACTAAAGGCGGTGAACCGTCTAACGGGAATTGTTGATTCCGATCAACATTTGCTTGTAGAGTAGAAGCTAATAGATCTGTGTGATGTTGAACTGCAAGTGTTGTTTCAGCGTGCTCTTTAGCATTGTTACCATTCTCATTGTTAGCGATTGCAGCACGTGCACGCCATTCCTTTTCTATCAGGCTACTTGCAGTCGCCAATGTTACTAATCCTGAAGATTCTTGAATATCATTCATAGACATAGTGGTCACCGCTGTGGATAATGCTACAGCGGCCATAGCAGCAACAGGTCCTAAATTGCCAGGAGAAAGGAATGAAATCAGAGAGGAGCCAGAAGAAGATGGTGTTGAAATGAACGATGAAGAAGAAGAGGATGATGAGTCACTATCATTGACTACTGGTCCAGAAGTTGAAACTGAGAAAGTGAGCTCTTCATTTGAAACTTGATTATTATCAATTGTGCTTCTGTTGTTACCGTTGCTTGTGACCTGCGGATTCCTATTCGTCATAGTACGAAGAAGACGAGGTAAAACACTCATGGCATTTGTTTCAGAATTAGTGGCTGTTGTCATACTGTCTGAAGTTGACGGTGACTGGCGTGATATTTTCATCTGGAAAAGGATTAAATGCAGAAAATTGTAATCAAACTTCAATTATAATGATTACTTATACGCGTTATAGTGTGAATATGCTGCTTGAGAATTAAATCTACTTAATGGGGGGAGGGTTTTTCTCAGCCATAATATATCATGTGCAGTAATCTTTAAATAAATTAACAGCTGACTATACAAATCACTTTATACGATAGCAATAGTCCTCATAAACGACTTGGTACAATCGAGGGTGGATAGACTTCTGTCTTCCTCTCTAAATGTAGTTACATTTGGCTACGTGTTCATACACACTGCCAGCCAGGTGCTGACTGACTGACTACTGGTTTCAATTGATATAAGTATAAAACTTGGGCACTGTGGCAGAGTATAATTCCATTATAGATAAGACTTTATTTTGATAAATCGCACAGTGTTTACAGTAATGTTTACTGATGACGTTTCGAGCACAATTTATTGCTCATAATCATATCAAGGTAATCACACGACTTCCTAAATTCATTTATATAGTTCCATTGTTTTTCTCTTGATTTGATTGGTAATAGTATTTTCCATATTTCAGGTATGACTCGCCACTCATACCTGAAATATGGAAAATACTATTACCAATCAAATCAAGAGAAAAACAATGGAACTATATAAATGAATTTAGGAAGTCGTGTGATTACCTTGATATGATTATGAGCAATAAATTGTGCTCGAAACGTCATCAGTAAACATTACTGTAAACACTGTGCGATTTATCAAAATAAAGTCTTATCTATAATGGAATTAACTGGTTTCAACGTAGAGCTTCGCACAGATGTGCACCACTTCAACTTGCCACTCTCCCTCCATGTAGCATACAAAGCACGAGAAGAGAGTAAAGACAGATTCAAAGGAGAGAGAATAAACAGAAGTGCGAGTGACGGAAATAGAATAGTAACATGGAAGAGTAATGGAATTTTATTCGATATTGTGAATCACGAGGAATGTATGCATATGCGCCAGTCATTGAGAACCATTTTGAGCTAGAGCACCAATTGTCTCAAGCCTTCGTCTGTTCTTAACATCCCGAGGCGATGGCTAGACATGCATAACACATATCCTAACCACCTCAATCGACGTAACTTCGCAAAGTCGTCGACTGATTTCCCCTCCCACCTGCCTAGCACTCGACCGACGCCTAACTTCAATATTGTTCACGCTATTATACCACCTAACATGAGAGATAGAATGCAGACGCCTTTGATCAAGGACAGCTAGTTTTTTCTTATCCTCCACTTTTCACGGTCATGTTCCACTCACAGCCATAAAGGAGGAGGACGAGGCGAACTGTTGAGCAGCACACTCGTCCCTTGGTCCACGGCCAGCCCAATATCACGCCTACAACATATATTATATATATGTAATTATAATTAGAATATGATGCTAGTTGTTGAACCAATTATTCGACTTATGATTGCTAAATTTATCAAACTAAAGACGTAAAGATGTTGCTAGTTGGATTAAGCACTTGGTTCTCAACTAATGGGTTTCGGGTTCTCCCACCCTCACCCTTCAACTTCATCCTGGGCAACCAGCCCTCATAAGATACGTGTGGCTCTGTTCCCGGTAAGTTAGCTTCAATAAAATATTTCAGTTTTAACCAGATGTTTGCAGATCAGAAACTTATCCCAAATTTCAAGGATTAAGTTCTATGAGGAGTGTCTCTAGAGACAGACTAATATCCACGTCAATTCCTGAAACTTGTCAGACAGACCAAATTACCTCCAATTCAAAAGAATCTGCGTCACACCAGCAAATCGCATATTGATTCATCTCAGAAATGCATCAACACCTTGAGATCAGATCTAGTCAAATTCCAGTTTGAAACCCGGCATGCTCGTTAGCCCAGTCGAAAGTCCTGTTCATCTCTCAACTCCAGCTACCTTCACTAATTTACCTGCACTGGTGGCAGCAGGTACATAGGAAGGAATGAGAGGAGAACGTCTACTAGATTCTCCGAGCATATCCCTAAAAGTCTTCGTTTGAAAGGTAGCAAAGTTTTATCAAGTGCAATCGCCAGACACCAATTTGACTGACAAGGGATATACAGTGGAAATTAGTCAGGCATTCAATGTACAGAGAAATGCATGGAGACTTAGTTTCGCAGAAGCCATTATCATCAAAGGATTTCCCACCAACCAACGCATACAGAAAGATAGTGTGACTAATCTCTTACTGCCTTAGTAACCATAATTGTTTTGTTGGTGTGCTTCTGTGTTTTGTTCTGTTCCATAATATTCCACTGGATCTTGACTTTGACTTTCACTCACTGAGTTGAACTCCCTATTAAGTTTCCGAATCTATTAAATTAAATTATTTTACCTATTTTACAATTTGACTTCACTATTCACCCCCGCCCTCCTGAACTGTACAGCACATGTAAAAATTAACTCTGTTGTTCTATCTTGTATTTTGCCTCCAGTCTGTCTGTCTGTCTGTTTTCGAGATAGAACTATACACAAATGTGCGGAAGTTCAAGTCGCCACACTCCGTGTAGCACGCGAAGCAAGAGAAGAAAGTACAAGAAAAGCATAATAGAAACAGTGAGCAGAGGTGTGAGACAAAGGAGGAGTAATAACGAAGAACAAAACAGTTTCATTGGAGATCATAAGTCACAAGGAGTGGATGCATCTGCGCTGGCCACTGAGAACGATTTTGAGCCATGTCACCAATTGTTTCCAACCATAGATTTTTACCGTCCCGAAGACCCCAGCCTGGAAGTCTACACCTTTCTACGTGGCTTAGACCAACTGTTGTGGATTTCATTGACTGGTGGGGCCAAGTTTTGTTTGACCGCCGCTAGCTTTTTTCCAGCCTGACCCTATATCCGCTAACATTGCTCATCGAGGGAGGCGATGACTTGGCATACGTAACACATGTCCTAACCATCTCAGTCTTTGTAACTTCACAACGTCGTCGATTGATTTCCCCTGTTTACCTAGAACTCTACGCCTAACCTCAATGTTGCTCACCTTATTATGCCACTTTACACGGGAAATAGAGCGCAGGCACCTATAATCAAAGACAGCTAGTCTCTTCATGTCTTCCACTCTCAGTGGCCAGGTCTCACAACCATAAAGGAGGACGGAGCGGATTGATGAGCAGTACACCCGCCCTTTGGTCGATAGTCGAACATCTCGTCTACGCCAGTCGGCGTAAACTAACAAATGCGAAACGAGCCCCTTGTATTCGTGCTGAGATTCCGTCAGAGATCAGCCCGTTGGGGATGATGGTACTTCCCAAATAAGTGAAGCGGTCAACGTGTTCTACCACTTCACTTCCTATTTTTAAACAAGGCGTCGATGTAGTCCAGTCCTGTAACATCACCTTACATTTGGCGGGAGCGAATCGCATGCCAAACATTCGTAGATTACAGCTCAAGGTGTTTAGAAGACTCTGCATTTCTGCATTGCCTCCAGTCCATTCTTGTTTCCAAGAGTAATCTGAATTCCACTCCATTGTTTAATTATTATATAAATCATTATCCTTTTAACACTAAATAATTGTCTGCTTACGTCATCTTCTAAATTATGTTGCCTATACTTTCTGTCTATAACTTGAAGTCATTGTGGAAAAAAGCGTGTTCAGACAACATATAATTGATTTATTAAGGATGCACGCAGTTGACGAGAATCCACGAAGTAAAACTAGCACATACTATAATGCAAATATGTTCATTATTTATTTACACTGACTAATAAAGTGGCATAGCGGTTAGGACGCTCGCCGACCATACACATGGTCCGGGGTTTGATCTCCGACAACTGGACGCACTCCTTTACCTCGCTAAGCCAGAAATAATGCTGGTAAAGAGGAAAGGTTGGGCATGAGGCCAGCAACCTCATCCTGTAAAAATAAACACTGCCACAGAAACTTCAAGCCTCTAGCTTGAAGCCCTATGTTCTACTGGGGAACGTGAAGGGAAAAAAAAGTAAAATAAAGGGAACCCGTTGTATGAAATTCCAATGGTCATAGTGACCAGGTGACCAAGCCGTATATTATTGGGCCTAATAACCGCTAAAACTTACATCAAAAATTTCAACTCTTAGTTGATGTATCTATATAATAAATGCCAGTGTGAGCTATATCACTTTATCATTTACAATCTAGGGAAGGATTTTAGTACTTGTCTGCTGAATATTAAAAAAGCTGAGCTGTTTAGTTTAGTCTAGACGGCTTTAAGTTCATTTAATTAAAAATATATGATAATGGCTTTTTTCAGCTAAGGAACCAGAAGTAAAAAAAATAGGATCTAGCACTACTGTACAACACACTATGTCACCATATTTCACATCTATGGCTGTAAGACCTGACCATTGAGAGTGGAGGACATGAAAAGCCTAGCTAGCTGTCTTTGATCATAGGTGCCTGTGTTCTGTCTCCCGTATGAAGTGGTACAGTAGGGTAAGCAATGTCTGTCTGTCTGTCTGTTTTCGAGATAGAACTATACACAAATGTGCGGAAGTTCAAGTCGCCACACTCCGTGTAGCACGCGAAGCAAGAGAAGAAAGTACAAGAAAAGCATAATAGAAACAGTGAGCAGAGGTGTGAGACAAAGGAGGAGTAATAACGAAGAACAAAACAGTTTCATTGAAGATCATAAGTCACAGGGAGTGGATGCATCTGCGCTGGCCACTGAGAACGGTTTTGAACCATGTCACCAATTGTTTCCAACCATAGATTTTTACCGTCCCGAGGACCCCAGGGTAAGCAATACTGAGGTTAGGCCTCAGTCGAGTGCTAGGTAGGTGGGAGGGGAAATCAATCGACGAGGCTACATCGACTGAGATGGTTAGTACATGTGTTACGTATACCTAACCATTGCCTTCCTCGATGGCCAATGTTAACTGATATATATATTATAATGAATCAATCATGAAAAAAGACAGGTATGAATATTTCACAGGTTAATTTCAGACAGATAGGGATAATCGACTTTCTTTTCCGATACAACCGCACCATTACTTATCTTGTATCGCTCTACCAGATACGAGGAGTTGAATGATTTCACCTATGGAGTAAGATTGCTTATCTTTTCATAACTTCTAAGTTCAGCGTTCACGCTTGGTGGTCATAGAAATACGGAGTCAAGAGATGCAAATTAACTTGTAACAGTCATTTCAGCATAAAACAAGTCGACTTACAGCAGTTAATTTCACCGCATCATCCATTAGTTCTCCTTGGTCTCGTTTGTGTTTTCCATGGCTAAAACGAAGGTGAAGTGAAAACAGAGTTGAACGGATTAGTTTGAGATATTAGTATAATATACATATCTTTGTATAAAATATTAACTTCATATGGCGGATTATGTAGTCTAATTTCTAAGAAATCGAGTATGACAGAGCACATACAAATGTATCACAAATATAAAAAGTAACCAGTTAATGGATAAAGCTAACTCTACCTTAATATATGAGAGCTTATGATAATACTTGGTTCATCATCCCACAGAATATGGCAAAGGGTCGAAATGAGATAATCTTATAATGCACAAATTAAATGAACGTCTTACTGGGCTCCATTCACATGCACTAAAATCCGACTGTAGTAATACAATCACATGATATTTACGGAGACTTAATTTTAATAATACAATTCTCTAGTACAGCCTATTTTATTGCTTCCAGTTACTGTAATGTAGGACAGTTTTTGTCCCTGAGAAAGTTCGCCACACCTATTATTACAGCGGTAAATCTCATGCAATTGGATCTCTTATGAGTTTATCTCAGCATGTGTATATTCCAAATTACTTAAAGCCTCATTTAACCTAGAGGTGTTCAGATTATTTGAAAAAGGTTGTTAAAGTTGTCGAGTGGAATATATACGAACTCCACCAGTCATTTAAGACGCCTCATTCTTACCTAACAACACTATTTAACACAACATACTTTAGAAATTGGAAGAAACCCTGAAATATAAATGGGCAAAGAGTTTCACGTTAAAATTTAAAAAGATTTCCAGTTGAGAATGGAAGGTTTACAGCCTAGAAGGTTGTTTTGATGCCCGCAAGTGTAGTACTTTTCACAGCTGAATCATATGATATGAGATAAGCACGCGTTCCCATAATTAACAGAAACCTTTTGATTCTCTGGTGGGAATGATGAATAGTGAATTAGGAGTCATTGAAATAAAATTAAACCCTAATCTTTGCTAAGCATGTGTGACATCTAAATCTTAACATGTCCCAAAAAAATGAGGGAAAATACTGCAGTAACCTTTAATCAAAACGATGACCACCTGCTACTAAGGCCATGCTATGGGCAGGAGGACAAGAGCAAATCTTTTAGCCTTTATACCTTCTAGGAAGAGTGACTGTCGCTTCCAAGGCACCTCCTCGAGCTGAGTAAACCTCGCACTGGTCCATAGAATCACTCAACGCAAGATTTCGAAGACCACGGGGACAGCTGTTCACAAACGAAACAAGTTGCGCCAAGGGACGAAGTAACGTCCCAACCAATGAAACAAAAATTAATCTTATGGTTTTTAACCTAATTATAAGAATAATACTTTTGACTTTTTTAGATTTCCATTACAATTTTTGATGTTTTGAAAACTAGGCGGTTACTTTGAAGAGAAGTGTCTGTAAGCGCCAATTCCAATATCCAATATCGTTTTTACGAGCTAGTATAAACCAATTTGATTTCTTTGTGCTCGCTTCTTGATTGTGAGGTATAGGTTCTTGATCTTCGGTAAACTTCTGCGTAGCTTGTCCCGCCACTCGACTGTTGTAGCTTTGGTTGACTCCAAAGGGAGTAGTGCTGGGATTAATTATATGTGGTTTGTAGTATGAGGTATGTTAAGACTGTTACTACTGTGATTGGAGTTGATCCTTTCGCCAGTTAGTCCTTCGGTATTGTCGACAAGAGAAAAGAGATAGTAATAATAATAATAATAGTAATAATAATAATAATAGATATAATTAGTGAAGCTATTCAGACTAAGAGACAGAAACGAAAATAGGAAACGTAACAACAGTCAGCTCATTAAGTTTGAAGAATAATATATATATCGGTAATAGCAATAATAATAATAGTAATTATAATATTAATAAGTTTTCAGGAGAGTAAGACGGGAGAGAATGTAAAGAAGTAAAATAACGAGTTTAATTATCTACCCTGATTGGTAAATGCGATTTTAAGGAGATAGGCCATTTGCTGGGAGCGCATCCGGGTCCTTGCCCTCTGGTGAGCTATCCTTCTGGGATTTCCACGTGGAAGCCTATACCTACTCAATGGCAGAACACCTTTGTTTGGGTGATTCTGGTCATTTGTTATTTTGTAGGCAGTAATCAAATCCCCCCTAAGCCGACGGTAACTAAGTGTGAACAGGCCTAATTTCTTCAGCCTTTCATCATATGGTTTGATTCTGTATCACTTACAAAACTAATTAAAATAGCAAACTTGGCTTCCATGTGTTGATTTCAAGTCGGCAACTCATGTAGTCTCAGAGATAAATTGTCTTCACCATCTAGTTCAAGATATTTGTCTAAAATAGGCGGTGCGTCGGTGGCACAGTGGTTAGGACTCTCGCCGATCATGCACATGGTCCAGAGTTCGATCCTCTGCCGACGCACAAATGATATCTATGGGCGTCCCGCACAGTTTGGGCTACCGATATCACATGCCGAAAATTCCATACCTGTACCAAAAATACGGTGTGTAATCAAGCTGTAATCAAAAATAAAATAAATAATAAATAGATGAAATAGGGATAGCGTATATTTGCAAAAGCTTATGGGGGACAAAACTAAGTCATATCTTAAATTAGACCTTTTAAGACTTCTAGGTGAGGAGAGAAGTCTTTAAATATGCGTTGATCCTACTCTATCTGTGTCCGGACGAGAAGATGAAAGGTGCAGATGTCACTTCTGCTAGTCGTTTCTAAGATTTTATGACTCTGTGGAAGAAACTTCACCCTGCTGCAGTATAGTTCCTCTTTCGATGTTGAATTTTCTTGCCATTCCCTCAACTGTGTTTTCACCCTGTGAAATGGAAAAGAACAGGTCCCCAAGGTTCCGAACATCATGATGAAAGTGTACTCTCTGACCCTGCCACGAAAAGGGGTGGCATTTTGAACCATTTCTAGTACAACAGACTGGTCATACAAGGAATCTCAACTTTGACCCTCCTTCCACACTTTCCGGAATACATGCATCCCCTTTTAGGTAGGGGCCGACTGCTTTTATGTAATTTTCCGATTTTCACCTCACCGGATACATACATATATGTATACATATAGTTGTGAACGTGGTGTTTCTAGTAAAGGTCCTAGGTAGTGCCCATAGGGAACTGAAACTACCAGCCGCCACTGTGTAACAGTGTTATTCAGTTATCAGGTTATGACTAAAGTAGAAAACAATATACTTGCACATCTGAAATCAAGGGAAAGGTACGTTGTGCATGCATTGATAATTGAGTGTCGACGGGCACTGTTTTATAGTTCAGTAAATGGCGTGCATTCTTTGAATCAGTTGAGTGGACGGTTGAGATCTAATTTCAACGTGAGCATGCCTCTTCCATCCTTTGGTCGCATTCATATTTTCCGACTGTACGATGATTTGTAGTACAACACTGATTACCGCTGTCCAGGAAGAAAATTTCGACATGAACCTGATTCTCTGTTCCCTGCCCACAAGAACTTCATCCGATTTCACTAACAATTTTGTTTCGGATATATCGTCGAAAGCTTTGCTGAAACCTTTGGAAGTAACGTCAGTGGTTTTGTTTTTGTTGAGCCAACTAAACCTTAAAAGTGTCCTACTATAACATGCTGGAAAATATGTCCAAAGAGCTGGAAACCAGGTCTAATTCTGGGTGACGTCTGACTGGTAGACAAAAAGACAAACGTAATTCCATATTAGTTTGATTATTAAATGTATCACACAGTGAAACAGTATTGTATACTGGATGACGTTTCGAACACAATTTATTGTTCATTATCATATCAATTTTTTTTGATATGATTATGAACAATAAATTGTGTTCGAAACGTCATCCAGTATACAATACTGTTTCACTGTGTGATACATTTAATAATCAAACTAATATGGAATTACTTAATACCACAGTACCCAAGTTTTACACATATAAAAAGACAAACGCCTGCCAGATGGTTTGATCCACTTGATTCTTTGACTGATGAAGATACTGATGAAAATTGCTAAATTTCTGTGTTTGTTGCCATGGTTTCTGTTATAGCCATAGTAGTGATAAGGATTCTTCATTCAATTTGGTGACCTGCTTAAGCCACTGGGCTACTAGTGTTACTATCCATTGACAATTTTTAGAGTCTCCTGCCCTTCTTATTGTTTTAATCGTGCACTTGTGTCAGATGCTCATCACAAGAACTCGCGCGCAAATTTAATTAGATTCTAACTAGACGCTATGCAATTCTCAAAAGAAACGAAGGGGAAAACTGCAGAACTCATTCTCTCTTCACATGCAAAAACGATACGTTACATGATGAGCAACTTTATTGCATATCCCCTCAATGACGCTTGTTGCTATGTTGCTATTGGTTTCAAGTGGCCTTGGTTTTGGGGGAAGATTTAACTGATGTAATATTGCGATTTCGTAGACATAACTCAGGCTCATAGGTGAAAAAATTATAATCCTGGAATACGGACAAGTTGTTCAGAAGGTAAGGAGGACATTATTTTTCAGTTTATTTGTATATATACTATTGTGTATCGAGTTGCGTTGAGTTCTTAGTGCAACTGTATGTAACTGCATTTACATAAAGTAAAACATTAGGAATGCTCCTGTTTTTAAAATAAAAAACATGATACTTTTCATTAAGTGTAGTAATGAAGAATGGAATTTCTTCCACGTCAATGGTATTTAATTGAAGAATTAAGCTCTGTAGGCCCTTAAAGGAATAAATTCGGCACGGAGAACTCCTGTGGAAACCGAAAGCACTTTTAGTTTACTAAATCTTACTGACTTCCTGTATAAATTTGATCTGTCAAGTGTTTATGTAAAGTCTGCTGGTGTATTCAGTAAAGTAAAAGTTGTAGTGCATAACTCCTAGACTTGTTGTAGTCATTGGTATTCCAAGGATACTTTTTTTACGTTTTATGCAGCCGAAATATTCAATTCTCACTTTATTGAGGAAATACTATAGTGCCTGCAAAAGTAGTGCGTCAGTTTACGAGTTTCATTAAGCCTACAGAATGTTTCCTATTCACTGAATACTGTTTGCGAATTATCCGAGAAAACACATTTCCGAGTGGGATGTAATACAAGGCTGAATTCTTAAATTGTCATCCTTATATCAGTTCAATTCAATCACACATATATTAATAGGATAGTCTGTAATTGACTTTAGAGACTTATCAGGGAATATTCTCATCAACTTACGGTTTGCTGATAATATTGTCCACCTAGACTATGAGAAGTAACCTCCGATGCTGTAAAATATGAAAATAATACCGGTGTTTGATTATAGGTGTCCGCGTTCTATCTCATGAGTAAAGCAGTATAATATGGCGAGTGCTGTTGAGGTTACGCATAAATGTTTAGGTGGGGAGGTTTAGTCTTCAAGGTAGGGAAGCTGAATAGGTTGAGATGGCTAGAACACGTGCTGGCATACAAAGCCATCGTCTTTCTCCAGGGACAATGCTAGCCAGCACATGTTAAGGTTTAAAATGTGTTTGGGTCGGTCAAATGAAAAAGTGATATTGGTTCATAAAATTGTTGACAGTCAGCTGGAAGAACTACCGGAGATGTGGCTGCAAATCTTTGGTACTGGTACAGGTGCATTCACTCTGTGTAATCTCACGTATCTATTCAACTCATGTTTTTCCTTGTCACTATTTATTCTCCCTCACATTTTCGCTCGTTAAACTTCCATTTAGTTTTATGTCTCTACCTTCGTGTGCTACATGAAATGTGGTAAATTAAACAGGTGGACTTCTCTGCAAACTCACACTGAAAGCTAGTCAGAATGGCACAGTCTGGGCATAACTAAATGCGAAACATTGATAAATGATCTCCAAAATATCAACAAATGATAAGTGTAGTTCTTAATCTTGTTCTTTGCCAAATGAAAAATAGATAACTTTCAGTAATCTTTTCTTCCATCCGGGACTCGTCTCCTACTTTGCAACTGGATTTGTGCTTTGTCACTTTTGTGCTTAGCTTTCGGTCATTCAGCATTCACCGTTGTTGTTGACTCAGCGCCTAGATGACTTTAGTTGAATAAGGTTTCGATCGTGCAAACTTGGGTCCTGGGCAGTTGATTGGTTGCATTATCATTTCTCAAATGGAATGCAGCATACTGTATATTAGGGTAAATCTTCCGCCTCGCTTGCTGAAGCTGGTGTTCCTCAGGCTATTTTTATCACTCCTTTTCTTTTTTCTCTCTCGTCTTACATGACTTTTCCCTTTCTAATGAGAGCAACTTCGTCAAATACGCTGGTGATCTGACCGTCTCACTTCGTGTCATGTTTCAATG